CGGCACCTCTGGCCCCCCACCAACCAAATCCACTGCTGGCCTCCTTGTGTCCAGGGGCAGGGCCCCACACAGGCTGATTTGCCCTGGGCCCCGCACCCTGCTCGGGTCATCTCTGCTTAGAGTCATTATTATCTTATCTAGAAACAGTACTGTCTCTTGCTAATGGTGAGGCAGATAAGCTCTAGAACAGGCACCTCTAGTCTGTTCAAAACTATGCTTTCACAACTCTGTTTACAAAGATCCTGAAATGATTTGGCCCATTTTTTTATACTAGAAAGGATAATCTATTTCATGGGGTTGGAAAAACAGGCTTTCTGTACTCTCGATAACTTTCCATGACAAATACTGGTATTAAAACGTTTGAAATAGATCATGGGACACTAAATAGCTGTTACACTTTCATATATGGCTAAACCTCTTAAGATTTTTCCATACTTCGTTACTACAGTTCAGCTAATTCTGCCTTCCTTATTATATTTACAATCAATCTCCTTCTTATATCATCAGAGGAACAAAACACAGAGGCCCCCTAGTGTCCATTCTTTATACTCTCTTCTTTATGTTCACAATCACCTACTATTTCTCCTCAGGGCCCCTGTCTCGGTACACAGGAGGGACCTGACATGAAAGTGAATTAGAGCTGTGGACATGTCACGGTCTTCTAGTAGTCACTGGTGAGTCCATAAATGACCAAGGAAACCAATCCAAATCAATGCATATTTGATTGAAGACATGGCAAATAGTCCTAGAAGGAAGGAGATGAACCTGATAATGCCGGATCACTGCTCTTTTTGTCTCTCTCATCCACAGATGCAGGGTTACACAAAACAACTGAAGCCTTGTATACTGCAGTACCACTGGGAACCATTCAGCGCTCGAGTCGGCCAGGTATTGATGTTAATAATATGACTCTGCAGATTGGCCTTCAAGGCGTCCTTGAATCTATTCTTTTACTCACCTCTAAGGTGGTGACCATCAGTGAGCTGGGAGTATACAGCTTGTTTTGGGAGCTGGTTGTCAGGCATGCTTATGACATGTCATGTGCAACGGAGCTGGTGCTATATAAACATGGCTTCAATGCTGGTGCTGTTCACCTGAACCAGAACTCTGACACTTCTTCTGTCTTACTAGCTGATACAGAAGACATTGCTGATGGTGATGTTCCAAAATTTTCAGTTGTTGCTGATATGTTATCCAAGTTTCAGACCCATAGAACAAGGTAGGGATGTCAACAGCCTGGTAGATGAGAAGTTTGATTTGCATCCTGTCATCATGATCATCAAAGACATGATATCAGAGATGTCCAAAGACAGCAACAGTAGATTTTATCTGGTGTTGAATATCCTTGTTGATGCTTACTTTTGGGGAAAGGTGGCTACCCAGGTGGAGGAAATACTCAACATTATCCAAGGATTGCTCTCTAATTGTAATGTATGGAGGAGCATCTGACTGGTTTGAGGTGGGTTGGTAAAGTATGTGGAGTTTCATAAAGTTGACAGTGGGCACATCTATAAGAGATGCTGTGTCTCTGTAGCTCATTGCTACGGCAACAAAGTGGGCACAAACCATGATACCGACACTACTGCATAGTATCAATGAGCTTAAGCAAGTACTAAATGACTGCACAGTAACAACTGTGCAGTCTGGCACATGTGTAGACATGCTCAATGAGTCCAAGTATTTCATATACTTCACAAAAGTACTCAGGAGTGACCTGGGGCTCTTCAATTGAGCCTCCCACAAGACAGAATCACTAGTATATTGGTCAGTAATGTAGGTGTTGACTATCTAGGATTTGGTGTTAAAGAGGTTCCTGTCCATGAGGTAGTAGATATTGACTCCAGATGGAGTCCGTCATCAGCAAGCTTGCACAATAGCTGTGCTACAGATGAAAAAGAGTGTTGGTGAAATCACACATCCTTGCCTGACTCCATTTCTAATAGTGAAGGGGTCTATTTCAGAGCTCTTCCTTAGGAGAGTTGCGGTCATATCATTATGAAGGACTCTGATAATGATAACACCTTTGCCAGACATCCAAATCTCATCAGGATTTTCCATAGGGCCTCTCTGTTGATTGAATCAAAGGCCTTAGGTCAGTGAAGGCCATGTAAAGATCTCAGTGTTGCTTGAGGCACTTTGCCTGCTGTTGTCTAGCAACACATATCAGACATATTGTACCTATAAGTGGTCTGAAACCATACTGAGACTCTGGTAGAATGTCCTCAGTGAGGAAAGTGAGTCAATAGTGGAGAATGTGAGCAAGGATCTTCCTAGCTATAGACAGGAATGCAATACCACAATAATTGCTGCAATCTGATCTATCTCCTTTCTTAAATATGGTTATGATTTTGGCATCTCTCAAGTACCTGGGAATCTGTTCATGTTTCTGGAATTCCCTGGTGCAGTTGAAGGCAGTACAGACATGCCCCTAGGCTCAGATCTGCACTCACAGCTAGAATGGAGGTCACACTAGGTGCTCTACTATGACCATAAAGTGCTATCAAATGCTAAATAAAGCTTCTCAAATATGGTAACTAAAATGACACGAAACTTTCGGTAATTCTGGCTTTATCTCCCTGTCTCTGCTCCTTGTATAAAGTTGGGAGAATTCTATCACCTCCCTTAACTATGGTGTGGTGGCGCTAAAATCGACTGATGTTTGTAAGGATCTAAGAAACTTTAAGGAGAGCATAATGAAAATGCCAGTGAGGAAATTAATAACTGTAATCAGCAGGAGGGTTGGATAACCTGCACTAAATCATGTGCAGTGTCACAAAAACTGATGAAGATAAGACAAAAATATATCAAGCTGCTGCCCACTAGCTGGGCACTCTCAAACTGTGTGTCAAAAGAAGCAAGTATTCTAAGGATGAAAAAAATAGGATATGGTTAGATAAGAAGAAAGTAATATAAAGCATATGCACATCAGCTGAATTAAGGTTATTCCATTTCCTAACCACTAAGTGCTCAACTTTCCAACTTTAATGACCTTTTAACAGTTTTGAAGGGAATGAGGCATGTGTGCACCTCATTCTCTTGCAAGCAATATGAGGCACATCATGCTTTTCACAGGCAGAATGAAGGGGAAAAGACTGTTTCTTGTAGTAAGCAACTGAGTAGCATCAGCTAGGGACCACTGCTCTGCTCCCTGTGGATTGCTTGCAGAATTTACTTTCATTTTTGCCCAGTAAGCAGCAGAAACTGCTCTTACCATATTTCCTCACATATAATGCACATTTCAATTTCCAGCAGTGGTTAAAAAAAGGTGTGTCTTTTATGTGACAAGATATGGGCCGTACAGTCTTCCATTAATGCAATGGTACATGTGTACTTTTCCATATTGATGTGCTCCCACCTCCTCCCATGAACATATAGTCTCCCCCATTACCCTCCAGTGATGCTTGTGTTTGTGCATAACAAGCATTTGCTGAATTTGAAAGCCTGCAAACAGCTGCATTTTAAGGGTGTTACTATGCTGCAAAAGCAATGATAGTCCAGCAGTCAAGCAGGAAGTCTTTAAGTGAACATTTACACACTAGTCACACCACCCTGTCTCTCTCAAAATTAACTAGAAAATTCATGAGCGTGCTAAATGCCAGTCACAGCAGGTGCAGCTTAAAACTACTCAGTTGGAAAGAAAAGCCTACAGCAAAAAGAATATGAAATATTAGACCATCTTTCTGAGTTTATTCCTAATAAAATATAAAAATCATCATTCAATGAATGCCTGTATTGTCTGGCACACTATATATTATCAACTAAACAAAAAACAACCATGGTAAATCTCCCTAATTTATTCACCCAAAATGGCTAAACACAGTTACTGCTTCAGGTTGGGGCTTCTTAATTTTTTAGGAAGATTCCTGTTCTTCCATTTTTACAGAAGGGCTGACTGAGTTTTTATGGGCCATCTGCCGCATCTTCTTTTCTCATGCAGAGACCCAAGTTTTTTATGTTAATATTTTCTTTATTGCATCATTTGACATCACAACATTTAATATGGTGGGGGGAGACAATTTAATTTGGGCTCCTGGGTTTTTCAAAGCAGGTGCAGGGACTGAGGTTCCCCTACAATTGGAGTTCCTTAGTTTGCATATAAAAAACTTCATTAACTTCACATGGAAGATGGTTCTTAATGCATTTCTAGTGAACACAATATATATCTAGGATATCACCAGTTAAGGCAATATCGATGTCTCAATTCACTTAGTTTATCACACAAACAAAATAGATTGCTAAGCTTACAATAAACTCCCCAGGCCTCCTTTGTCCTGGAAAAAAACCCTACTCATTCATATTACTATTAATTATTTGAATTACAGTAACATTGAAGTGCTCCAACTGGAATTGGAGCTACATTACACTAGCCTCTCTATAAACACCATGTAAGAGGCAGGCACCAAGAAGCTTATGATATAAATAGATAATACAGATTCTGCAGCTGAAAGAAAACAGAGGCACAGATCAATGACTTGCTCAAGGTCACACAGTAGGTCAGTGGCAGAGGAAGAAACATAACACATGTCCTGTCTACCACTCCAGGGCTTGCCTATTACACCTTCCCAGGGCTCTCCAGGATGAGCTCCAGGTGGCGTTTAGTCGGACTATGCAAAGGAGTAGAAGGCAGGGTAGATTTGCACTTTAGTGCCAGGGATTTCCTTCTGCTGTCTCTCTCTGCCCTCTTGATCACCACCTACTCTAAGTGTCCCCCTATACCCCATCCTCACAACACATTTTCCAACAGAGTTGGCATTTTTTAATGCAGGGCAAGAGTTGTAGCCACACATTTTCCATTAAAAGTAATGGAAACAATGTGTTGAAATCTCCTGTACTGACATGAAAGTCTCCACCATGTTGATCAAGGAATAATGTACAGTGTATTTGCATTTAACAGATGAAAAGTGTCCCTGATAATGAATGGGATCCAGTATATAAGAAGATCTACATCTGAAGTAATACCCCATGTGATATTGTAACAGAGGAGCCCACCTCAAGGTCAGTACACTGGTATTCACTCCTCTTTACTGCATCCTGCAGTTGTGGGGGACCATGGAAATGAGGGAGCCGTATGGATGAGGAGACTGCAGACATGAGGCATAGCAGGAACACCCTGGGATGAAACGAACTGGTGAGCATCATCACTGTCCTGGTCTACAGGCTGGAAATCAGAACAAGAAAGTCAGGGATGAGAGGATATGGACCCAAATTATTTTTTATCTTAAACTACAGTAGAGTAAAAAAAAAAAAAAAATAGCAGGGGAGAGGAGAATGTCCCTCTTTTGGTTTAAAAAAAATCTAATTTTAATTTTTTTTCCAACTAGATCTAGTATTCTACAGAACATGAAAATGAGAAGTGGATTCTTATTGTTTAATTGTATCATCATTTCATTCTGGCAACAGGCAACATGGCCATCATGTGCTGGGCTTCAGATGTTATTCTGTGGCTACTCTGTGTGCCAGTTATGCTTGCCAAACCATTAATTGTAATGGACTTGATAGCATGTTCCCCTAACTGATATTTGCCAGTTACCAGCAGGATCCATACGCCTTGTCGTGAAAATGGAACAGAGCATCGTAGCCAGATTTCTCGTTTGTGACTTTAATTCTGATAAAAGGAGTCAGCACCTTAAGCTCGGTGCTGTGGAAACCTGCTCGGTCCTTTTTCAGCTACACCTTTCCTCACATAGATTTTCATCTCACTTGCTTATACATGTTAGATTTTAAGAGGATGTTTCGTACTATGATTGGTCCTAGACGTCATAAACAGTAACTGAGGCATCCTAGTGTATAGCAAGGTAGGTGTGGAAATAACAACAAGAACAACCACCGTAATAATAATAATATAAAACAATATAATAATAATATTAAATATAATCCTTGTACTGAAGATCTTACAATCTAAACATAATGCCAACACACAACAACAAGAGGAGGCAGTAAATATAAGACAGCATGAGAAAGAGAAGGTAAAGCAGGAGCGAAACATTAGCCAAAGAGTTCATCCTCAGCAGCCAAGCTTGGGAAAGACGTGCACATTAGCCAGGTACAGACATTACACTTTTCCCAGTAAAAGTGGTTGGAAACCAGTCTATACCCGTAACAGAACAGAAGTTTGGCACGCGTAGGGCCTTGTTACATAATAATTTTAGGCAGCTTCTGAAACTCTTAAACCCTGGATTGGTTGCACCTTAACACCATTAAGTGGCTTAAAGCACTCGTTATTAATTTTAAAGTTACACCACCTCAGGGAGAGATTATCTCTAATCCACGTAACCCTGTACCTGTTCCACTAAAGTAACCACTCCACATAGCTATTCCACACAAGTCACAGTCTTCTAATAGGATGTACTGGCCCCTCCTGAGTCAGCATGTGTAGGGACGTTGGGGTGCCTCTGCCCTGCTGCTCACCACAGTCTCAGAGCACGCAGCAGCTACAGTGCCTCCCGCTACCACCCAGACTCCCTCACTGCTCCCACCAGGCAGAGAAAGCAGCAGTCTGGGCAGCAGTGGGAGGCACCATGGCTGCTGGGTGCTTCAAGGCTGTGGTGCTTGCTCTGCCCCCTGAGAGCAGCGAGGCAGTCCAAGCATTGGGAGCTACCTGGCTGGTCCAGAGCTACAGTACTTGCTCAGCCCAGCAGAAGCAATGATCTGGTCCTACCCCTGCTCACCAAGCCTCTAGTCGCAAGTCACAGCTGTGCAGGGGAAGGACAGTCAGAGATGGTTTTTTGCCGTAAGGTGTGACTGCTCCACTAAGCTGAACAATGCAAAGCAGATTAACATTTGTTCAGCTTACAGCATAAGGTGTGACAAGGGCCATAGACTGGTTTAAAAATGGTGGAACCCATTTGCCCCCTCCTCCGCTCAACCCAAGGGTGAATGTGTGTTGTGTTTGCTACCAATCTAAACTATGCCTCTTCCAGAAACCTGCGTATTAACTTAGATCAATTCCACTTAAGGCTTTTTGAATTGTGTTCTGACTGCTGTAGTGTTCCCTGGTGTATATGGAATACATAGGGCTAGATGTTCAATTGCTGTAAATTGCTGTAGCTCCATGGAAGCCAAAGCGATATCGATACCCACTAGCTGAGGACCTAGCCTATGATACATGCTCAATGATCTGTTCACCAGCTCCATAAGCTGGCTGGTATTCAAATATACCCAACACTACAAATGTTAGCAATGTGATCTTTGCTCACTGCAAAATCAACACAGCTGACAGAACAGCTTCTAAAAGCTGTGTCCTTAAAAAAAAAAATAAAAAGCACCTTTCTGAAATCACTCCACCAGGAGAATGACACCTGGAGGTTCAGCTAGAGGCCAAACAGATGCAAGTATCATCAGTGAATAGCAGGGCTTGGTTAGATTTTAATCAGGTAAGAGTGGTGCATATTATGCTGAGCTTTGTATTTCAAAAGAGTATATACATTTTATGTGAGGCTCTCTCTTAGAGCTAGATTTTACAGATTTATTTTCACATTTACTGCCAGTTCCTTAATAATTTTCTTTATTCCTAATGAATAGAAATTATTTAGACAACCTGTAACACCTGCATTCCAAAGAAGGCATGTGTTTAGAGGCTATGCAGCTATTTCCACATGTTGATATTGTGAATTCCAGAGTTAATTACAGTAATTCCTATTCAAACAGGCACATCAAGAATAAAGCAAGAGGAGGTTGTTTTCTTGTGAAGTGCCTGAAGTGGTTTGTTTAATTAAACACATAATGAACCAAGATAGTGTTTTATCTTTACTCCATCTGCCTTAATACTACTTATTTGGTGCTAGATTGTGATAGTCAAAGATAAGCTCTACTCCGAGGTACTTATTCAGCGGTGGTAGTGCACATCCTCTGTTGAGTGCAACATTCTTCCATGGGGGCTGGCACCACTTCAAGGTTGTCAGCAAACTCGAACCAAAAGGGGTTGGTCCACTGCGCTTTCTATGATTTTGGGGTGGCAAAGGTACAGTCAGTAGATTCAGGGGCTGCCATTCCTCCTGGCCTCACAGACTATTCAAGCAAGGCGGGCATGCTCAATGTATTCTCCTTTTCCACATAGCGCCACACAAGATAGAGGCAGGCTCTGCCTTTATTGGTCAGAACTAAAAGCAGAGTGCCTTGAACACTGCTAGTTTAGACCAGTGATTCTCAACCAGGGTGATGAGGTATCCTGGGATGCCAACAAATGCTTTGAAGGATGCTGCAAGGTGTGAGGAGATAAGTAAAGTATGCAGAGATTAGCAGATAACCTAAATATCTGAGCCTGCATTTATCTTTGTCCTTGTCTGAATGATCTCCTGCCACCACTGCCCAGGCTAAATTAGCTGATTAGTGGTTCTATGGGGAACAAGTGGGGGTGGTCAGCGTGATCACACTTTGCTGTAAATAGTTTCATAAGCAGGACACCTACACACCCTTTCCACCCCAATAGAAGATGGCAGTCTGGGACTGGTGGAGGCCACAGAGGATGCTCCCTGGTTGGTTCCCCATGACATTATGTTTAATTTTAGTGTGTGACCATTAATCTCTGTGTCGACTGCTATAGTTTTGTAACATTTTGTTGACTCTGGCTGACCGTACCTGAGAGACAGAGAAAGCTGGGAACTAGAGTAAGCTGTTTGGGACGTAGGCACTCTGCCTTGCTACCACAACCTTTGAAGAAGAAAAAACCCCTCTTCTGGGAGCTGAGCAAAAAGAAAGAGCTATCTGAGGTAAGGATGCTACAAATCACTGGGGAAACCAGGGATAGAGAAAAGCCAGGGTCTCGAAGCCAAAGGCTTGCCTACAGGGTCTTTGGAGAGAAGGAGACTAAATGAGACTCCTTCTTAAGGAATCTTGAAGCAGAGCTTCCCCTGAAAAGGCATGACCTATGGCATGTGTTGGGTCTTCCAAACGTTTCCTTTTGGGGGATATTCCATACATATCACTATTGCAAAAACTTTTTATTCACCCTTCTGTTTACATTATATTTTAGGCAATACAAGCACTTACTTCCATTTTCTGGGGCTCAGTTCTACAAAGTGTGAGTAATCGGTGGTGCTGATCCAGCTGAGCACTTAGTCATGCCCCTGGTAGTCCACAGGTTTCAATAGGGCTAGATGTCTGCCTAAAGTTAAATACATGATTAAGCACTTTGCTGCATCAGTGCCAGAGTGGTCAACATCTAATAGACTGAAGTCCTTGTAGACACCTCTTTGGTTTCAAAATGGCTCGATACTCAATAATTAGTCATTTACTATACATTTTGTCCCTATCCATCGCATTGGCTGCAGAGAAGTTTGATCAGTATCTGCTTACTTTGTGTCCCTCTCTCCCATTGCATGTGTCATTCATTATCTTTGTACTCCCTACTAAAGAACAGTAATTTAAAATAAGTTATAAAAAGAAAACATAGTGATAGGCATATAGACAAGCTGATTATGAGCTTTCCTTCAATTCAGTAAAACATTGACAAAGGAAGTGCAGGGAAAGTAATGGTTGATTGATAGGGATAACTCGGGTCCATGCATTCTACATCGTGCAAGGCCCTCATTGTGTTACTGAATTCCCAAGATCTTGGCTAGGTACAGGCAGTCAAAAAGCCTGAGGCTGAATTGATTCAGTCTTTGCAAGTTAGTCTAAAATGCACAGATTAAATTGAAACAGAAGTGAACAAACATTTACCTTTGATACAGGAAATGAAGCAATATGCCTACAGTGGATCAGTCCAGAAGCTGGGGGAGGAGGGGCACTAGAGCACAGCTCTCTGGCTGTGTTCACTTCCTTTTCCTGCTGCTGTTGAGGTTTTTGGAATTTGTAGTCTATAGCTGCAGTCAGCACACAGTAAGTCTGAGAGGGGAAAGGGTGTTTAACCCCCCTCCCTGGCCCCAGACCTCAGCTGGAGCTTTCCTGGTGGGGGGAGGCAATTTCCCCTGCAGACTGGGCTGCATCCCCAGCTGGGCTTGCCCCACTTCTCCACCCATCAGCTAGCCCTCACTGCTCTGGCTAGGGAGCAGAGGTGCAGGGCCAGCCCTGCTCTCTGGAGCAGATTGCAGAGCCCAGCCCAGAGCTGAAAAGCATGCTGGGATGCTGAAGGACTGTGATTCAACCTGAATGAGAAAGGTGGACCAGAAGTTTCATAAATCAGTTTGACCTAAATCAGTTAAGTCTGATATTACATTCAATCAGGTTCATCTTAAACCAGTTTCAGCCATTTTGAAACTGGTTTATGTGCACTGAGTTTCTGTTCTGTTGCAGGTTTAAACCAGTTTTTGATCACTTAAACCGGTTTATATGTAACTTCTGTCCCTAGCCCTAGTGATGAATAATACAACAGCACACAAAACATTTTCCATTGACATTGGCACTAGCATTTGAGGTGCTGAGCACCCACAGCTCCCAGTGACTTCAAAGAGAATGGAGGGCACAAGACCCCTCACAATACTGGGACTTACCAGCTGTTTTATTATAAACAAACCCACTGGAGCAGCTGCAGCTCTCAGACATCAATTACTAATTAAAATATTTACTTCACTTTCCAATCTCCTATTTAACAAGCATCACCAGACCTCAACCCTGTAAAATATTATCACTAGCTACTGCAACAAGCATCAATTAAAATGAAATGTTTTTGCATACACAAAGAACAAGTATCACACTGTAATCTCAGTTTTGAAGGCAGGCTGGCTCTTTCTAAGTGCTGAATGGGTAAAATATTGTTTCTCTTAATTTGCTAAACCACGTATATTATGTTTGTACACAATACAAATTGAGCTTTCCAGCTAAAATGACAGATGAGGAAATTATTGTCCTTCCCTAATCTCCTTCAAAGTTTGTGAATGGCATTCATTAACATTAATGGGAGTAGTATGTAGAGAGAATGCTGCAGTGGTTTGGGGCCTATTCACCTATGTGCCAGACAAGCCCACAGAACAAAGCATACACATTGTGCTGATCTTCTGTACAGGATGGGACTGGCGGAGTTCAGGTTCTTTGCAGTTAATATAAATGATCGCATGGCTAAAGCACAGGACTGAGCTACAGGAGATGGGCAATGAGGCCAGGTACAGACATTACACTTTTACCGGTATACGTAGATGGAAACAGGTCTATACCTATAACAGAATGGAAGTTCGAGACAAAAAACCAGTCCTTACCCACAACAGAACAGAAGTTCAGCACATATATACTGGTTTAAAAATGGTGGAACCCAATTTAAGATTTGTCCCATCCCGTTCTCCCCCTTCCCCCCCCCCCCCCAAATGGAAACGTGTGTTCTGTTCACTACTGATCTAAGCTACATTGCTTACAGAAAACTGAGTAAACTTTGATTGATTCCACCTCAGGCTTTTTGAATGTCTGTACCTAGCCTCAGTTTCTACATCTAATACGTATATTAGGCCATTTACAAGAGCATGTCTACACCTTGCCTCAGCAAAGCACAGCAGAATCATCCACCTCAGTGGAAGCGCAAGATGGTAATGGACTCATCACTAGTGGTCCCCTGAGAAAGCATGCCTTTTAGTACAAGTGATCTCACAGGCACAGGGGCATTCTCTGAGAACTACATACGTGCCCAGGAGTATTGTAACACACCTATATTATATCTATTTCAAGGTTTAGCACACAGGTCTCCCCCTTCCACAGTCTGGAGGTCATATAGAGATGGCCTAACCTCTCTGTTAGCCAGTCTCTCTTCTTTTAAATGGGTGTATAAGCCTTGTATTACTAAGTCCTCAACGGGTTACTATGAATATAAATAATAGTATTATCACCATCCCACTTAACTTATCACAACCAAAATGTGAGGATGTCTTTTAAGTATAATTCAGGCTTTGAAACTCCCCACTCATCCAATTCCCTAATTGAAGGTATTTCATAGTTTCATAGATGTTAGGGTCAGAAGGGACCTATTAGATCCAACCCCCTGCCATGGGCAGGAATGAGTGCTGGGGTCAGATGACCCCAGCCAGGTGTCTGTCCAATCTCCTTTTAAATACCTCCAAGGAAGAGGACAGCACCACCTCCCTTGGAAGCTTATTCCATATTTTGGCAGCCCTCACTGTAAAGAATTTTTTTCTGATGTCCAATCTGAATTTGCTCTCTTCCAGTTTGTGGCCATTATTTCAAGTTACCTCGACTGGCGCCCTGGTAAACATTGTATCCCCTATTTCTTGCTGGCCCCCACGATGAGTTTGTAGGTGGCCATGAGATCAGCTCTCAGCCTCCTCTTGCGGAGTCTGAAGAGGTTCAGGTCTCCCAATTGGTCCACATAGGGTTTTTTCTGTAGGCCTTTAACCAGATGAGTAGTCTTCCCCTGAACCCTCTCCAGGCCATCCACATTCCTCCTGAAGCGCCATTTGTGTCATCTTATTAGGAAAGGTAGATTTATGCTACATACAAATAAAATATACCTGGTTCAGCAAATTAAGATGAGGGTTTGAAAAGGTTGTCTGCATTTAATAAATGTATAAGAAGAGCAACAAAGGAAGATTTATAAACAGTTCAAGAATTCTCCCAACTTTTGCCTGCTAAATCCATTTGTTTATTATGACTTCAATATTGATTGTTGTTGAAAAGGACTGCTAGGCAGACAGATTTGCTTTATCTCCAACTTAAAGCATGGCAGAATTCATTGAAAGTGATGGCTAGAATATTTCTTAGGAATGAGAAATTTACTAGATGGGCATGATCATTCCTACTATAAAATTCATTTCATCCTGCTCGATGCACCACGCATATTTGCCTTAGTGCTGTAAGAACCTGATCAGCAATTCAGTCGTCTTTTGTGATTGGAGCTTTGTACAGTAAAAGCTGCTCTATCCGGCATCTTACAAGCCAGCATGTTCTACTAACCAGCATGCTGGCTTGTAAGATAAAGTGAAACCAGAAGTGCCCACCGCGGCACTTCTGGTTTCTCTGAGCCCCCATGGCCGGGGGCAAAGCAACCTGCGCTACCAAGCCCTCATGGCCCGGGGGCATAACAGGCTGTGTGGGGCTGTGCAGGGCCCGCCTCCCTGTACCACGGGGCCCACAGGGCCCACAGGATGGGCGATGATGTGGTGGGAGGAACGGAGATGCTGCAAGAGGGGTGGAGGGATGCCCCAGACGCGGCGGGAGAAGTGGCGGCTGGGGCCGCTCAATTAACCAGCATATTTTGTTATCCGGCACCCTCCATTCCCAGGGGATGCCGGATAACAGAGCTTTTACTGTAAATGCAAGAGCTCAGTAGTTATAAAACTGCAGAAAAGATTTTTTTATCTCTAGTTGGAAAATTCCTGGAATTATATTAAAGTTTCAGACTTACTTATTGCACATTTTGAAATATATGACATTATAGTTGGATAATAATAAATTCAGCAACACCAGCACTGTTGGCCCCTCAGCCATGTCCTGGATTAAATGAATTTTACACAAGGAAATGCCCTTGTGCCTGAGATCACTAGTACTAGAAGGCATATTGTCCCAGGGGACTGCAGGTGATGATGATTCTACTGCTGTCCTCTTTTCAGGGGCCATTAATTTTATCACTGAAGCCTCCATAGATAGAGGGGATTCACTAATTCATTGAATATCTTGACTCTTTTAGCCATTTATCTTTCTGAATAGCATCTTGCTATTGTCCTTCTGGCCGCTGTGGTGAATTCTTGCCATTGCACCCATCCACCATCCTTCAGAGGACTTTTCACCTCAGAAGTCCTCTGCCAGAAGTTTCTCTGGAAAAAACATGTCATAACCCTGGGTGAACAGGACCACATTTCTTAACATTTTCAACATTTTCTTGCCCTTTTAATGTAGCTTGGTTGTTTATATTTAAGGCACTGTATTAGTTTTCTTTACCAAGACCAATATTCATATAAATTGCATGGACATATTGCCAAACTAATTCACTCTCATTTCGGAGGGAGTTTTTCTAAAAGTACACAGGGCAATGAGTTCTCCAAAAGCTATTGAAATTTAATGAGAGCTGAGTGCATATAGGCACCTTTGAAAACCTTTGCCTTACTTCCCAATTACTTTCTGAAAGGTAGACAGAATTGTTAGCACCATAAATGAATTTGGACTGCCACAACTGAGCAGTGAAGAAGCACTAGAAGGTGGGTTAGCGTGCCTGGAATAGATGCAAGA